GGGGGGGGGGGACCGACGCAACTCACCCCTGAGGGTCTGCCTACCTTGTCGGGGCCGAGTGGCGTCGGTCACCCCCTTTGGGCCGGGCGATGGCGCCGAGGAGCGACCAGGGCGCCAAGGGGCCTGGCGTAAAGGGGAATTTTCGTGGGAGTACGCCGGAGCGACGCTGCCTCATGTGCACCAGAGGCAGCGGGTGCCTCCGCCCGGCAGGCACGGCGAGGGGCACACCTGGCCGGTGTTTTGTGCATGGCGCCCAGCCGGCCCCTTCCCCAGTTGGACCTTGGGGGCCAACGAAACTCTCGCCGCCCGGTCCGTGGTCTCACTCTGCCCGCTCGGCCCCCCGGCTGTGGAGCGCCCCTTGCCTTGCGGTAACCCATTCTCCTGCTCTCTTCCCGGCCCCGCCCCCCCCCCCCCCAGAAAGCGTGACGATGGAAGACACCACCTTCCCCCTCCCCGCGGGTGCATGCACATGCACGCGCTCGAGTACCAGGCAAGTGTTGCGGGAGCCGAGGGTGCCGGAAGGTTGACACAAACGCATGTTCTCTCTCTCTCTCTCTGTCTCTGTCTCTCTTCCTCTCACGCGCACAATCGGACAGACACACGTGGAGGGGTCTTCCTCCGGTGAACGGGCCAGGAGCCGAGGGGAGGGAGGTGGGGGCCAGGGATGGAGGCACCCGGCTGCTGGACGGTGTTTCACCGGATCTCACTCCGGTTGTTCACCACGCGCCATCGGGACAGGCACCTCTTTTCGGCCAGCACCACGTATGTCCCCCACCCTCCGCCAGGTTCCAATATCTCTCTCCCTCCCTGTTTCCCAGCGACGTCCTTTCCGCGCAAATCCATCCGTCTTCCCTGCCGAGCTCCTGCTTCCCTACCCCCTCTCGGTCTTCTACCCCTCCTCATCTTCCTCTCCTCGCCCTCCCCTTCCCCAACAGTTCCGTGAATAAGGTGTGTCCTCTTCTGCGCTCTGCTCGATTTCCATCCCACTCTCCTCACCCCTCGCCGATCCCCCTCGCCAGAACCCCCCCCCCCCACCCCCTTTGGGAGTTTGCCCTTCTCTCGGACTTCCCTCCTCACCGCGTCGGACTCCTTTCCCCCCTCCGGTCGATCTCCTCTCGGACACAGAGCCCCCTTCCTCCGCCTCTCCCCCGCCCCCCCTCTCGCTAGCCTCAATAGGGCACGGCCTTCGGAAGCGTCCATCCCTTCCCCCTCTCCCGTTTCCCTTCCCCTTCCGAACCCTCCCGCCCCTCCTCCCCCCCCCCTTCCCCAGCTCCTTCCCCACTGGCAGCATGTCCAACGTGATGCCGCCTCCCCAGGGCCAGCCTGGGGCATTTTCCCCCCACGACCTGGCCGTGGCGGCGGCTGCCGCGCTGCCAGTGTCGGCGTCCCCCTCGATGGACGCGGTGGACTCGCAAAATCTCATTTGCCCCATCACACAGGAAATCATGACCGATCCTGTGGTAGCCCTGGACGGGCACACGTACGAGCGGTCGGCCATTCAAACATGGTTCGCCACTTCGGGCCTGGTGCAGCCGCCGGCCGGCGGATCGGCCGACGGCGAGGACCCCGCCCCCAAGGCTGTCATTAGCCCCTTCACACGCGAGAAATTGGCCAGTCCCAGCCTGGTGCCGAACCTCCGGCTGCGAACCATCATCCGCGAGGCCAATGAGGGGTCCCAGCCGCCCAGTCGGTCCAGTAGCCGGCCCAGCAGCCGCGCCGGCTCGCGCAGCGGCAGCATGACCGCCCTCCATACGATGGCCCTGCGCAATAGCGCCCAACAAGCGGGCCACGACTTCCCCGTGCCCGGGGCCCGGAGTGAGAGTCTTCTGTCCCGGGGCCCGAGCTTCGGCGGGCCGGTCATCGGTGGTCTTGGCCACGCGTGCCCCTGCTGCGATGGGTCCGGCCAGGCAACCAGCTGGGCCCATGCCGGGCCGGTTCACATGGCCCGGCCGCTCGGTGCCCTGGGCGAGACCCAGCTAATGCCCCGGGTGTTTGAGCTCCTCCGCTGCTCGCGCTTCTTTGACGAGTATCTCCGGCAGCGCTCCTCGCTGGAGGAGACCTTGATCTTGGTGTCCGGCGCCGCGGTGGAGCGCCTCCTGGAGCGCAGTCGCTCGCGCGGCAAGCTCGGCTCCGGGGATACCTTCTACGATGCGGCCAGCTCGCTGGAACAGATGTCCGTGAGCGGCACCGGCATGTCACGCCCGCTGGCAGGCGGGGCGTCGGTCTCGGAGCAGCATGTTGGCTACTCCTCCCCCTTCGGCGGCGGGGGGGCCTTCATGGCGCTTGGTCAGCGGTCATCCTCCGCCTCCGCGATGGGGGCCGAGTCCGGGCTCCAGGGCTCGGCCTCGGGCTTTTCGGTGCCCAGTGCCTATCGGCTGTGGTCGGATGACCCGGCCGACGATGGGGTGGCCCTGCTCCCCCGGCATTTGGATGATGATGAGCATCGCCTGCGCCTGGGGCATGCTTTCCTGAACCGCGACAAGCTGGCCCATGCGGAGCGTGTGTTCGGCCATGCGGCCATCCGTGCCTTGCAAGATGCCCAGGCCCAGGGGTGGGTGTCCAGCGCGGCCGCCTACCGGGCTCGGCTGTGGCAGGGTGTTTGCCTGCTTCTCAGCCACGAAGTGAAGCAGGCCCACGCGGCCTTGACACTGGCCGAGCGCCTGATTGACCTGCTGTCGCCGGGCACGGTGGCCCTGGCGGTGCCGGATTCCGAGTCGGACTCCGATGAGGAGGACTTCGATTCCGAGCAGGACGACCACCATCCAGATGCCATGCTCCAGGCTTCGCGCTCCGAGAGCGGGCTTCACCTGGGCGGGGCCGGGCACGCAGTGGACCTGGACATGATGGATCTGGATGACGCGCAAGCGGTGCCGGTGCGCCTGGCATCCGGCGGCCCGGATGCCCCCGTCACCACCTCCACATCCGGGCCGGCCTCGCACCAGGTTCTGGGCCGGATTTTGGTGAACAACCGCTCCGGGCAGACCCCCCCGGCGGCTGTTCCCCGTCGGTCCGCGGCCCCCGGCGGTCGCCAGCGCCCGCTGTCCCTGTCGTCGGTGGACACGGCGGCCTCCGGGTCGTCTCCCCTGGCGCGGGATGGCCTCACTGGCACCGGCGGCCGGCAGCAGCATACCCACACGTCGGCCCGGCGCCGGACCTCGCGTTCGAGCATCCAGCGTTCCGGTCCCCTGGCGGCCGATGCCTCCTTCATCCGGGGCCTGCTGAGCTCCCTTGAGAATGACAAGGTCCGCGCGGTGGGCCATCTGACCGCGGCTCTGAAGCGTGATGCGCGGGCCCGCGAGCGCAGCAGCATCGTCATGGGCCAGCCCCACCTGGACCCGGTTGGGGGAGTTGCCTCGACCGCGGCTTCGGCGGACCCCTCGGTGTCTGGGGTCACGAGCGCCGCGGCCCCGGCGGCCGCTCAGCAGCCGGCCCCGGTGGCATCCAAGGCGACGCCGTCGGCCCGGGCCGCCGCCTCCGGGACACCCGGTGGTGGCATTGCCCCCGGTGCCAAGACCCCGGCCAGCGGGGCCCCCAAGCACGCCCATCCATCGGCCTCGGGCGCCACCTCGCGTCCGGCCAAGCAGCCGGCCGAGGGTGTCTCCGGGGCCGAGGCCGGTTTCGCGTCCGCCCCTCCGGCCCCCCCGACCACCGGGACGGCTCAACTCCACAGCTACTTGGACTGGATGGAAATCGAGCAGCGGGCGGCCGAGGACCACCGAGCTCTGGGCACGGCGGCCGTGGCCAGTCTGCAACAGCAGCAAGTGGCTCCGGCTTCCTCTTCCGCGGGGTCCAGCACGTCGTCGCTGCGTTCGCCCCGCATGCTCCATCTGCAGGGGAGCGGCTCGAGCGGGTCGCACATGGCCGCGGTGCCGGCCGGCGCCGGGGGGCCGCAGTCCCCCCGGGCTGGTGGCATCACCGGCGGCGATCCGCTCCTGGCCAATGGCGATTGGCAGCGGATGGGCCCGCCGGTGGACTACGCCACCGAGCACGCGGCTTGGTACCATCACTTCCGCAGCGTCGAGACCGCGGACGACCGCGCGGCCGTGGACGACATCATGGATTGCCTGCAGCTCGGCTATGGCCGCCGGCATGTGGCTCTCGGGAATTTGGCCTGGACCCTCTTCAACCTGGAGCGGTACGTGATGCTACTTGTGGGGGCCGGGGCCGTCCGGAGGATGGATCGTTCTCTTTCCCCTTTGCGCCTCCCTCCCTCCTACTGGCAAGCGAGAGCGCGTGCCTGTCTGACACCGTGTCGATCACGGACCGGCCCCACTGGCCGGGCTACTTCTCCCCCCTCTTCCCCAGGTATGAGGAGGCGCTGTTTTACTCGAACGAGTCGTTGGCTCTCTGCAACCAGCGTGTGGCCACCATCGAGACGAAGGCCTCCATTTTGAAGAAGGTGCGCACCCACCAGGGAGAAGAGAAGAAGGCGGAAACCCTGGGGGTGTTTTTGTCTATTGCTACACAGTAGCAATGGCCCAGGTGGTGGGGGACATTCCGGCCCGAGTTGGCGACCCTCCTTCGCCGGGGAGAGGGCTCCTCCAGGCTCGGGGTCCGGTCTGTGGCGCCATGGCGCGCTTCCAGGGGGGGGGGGATGGGGGCGGGCGCACCCACCACCACGCCTGTATTGTTCGTCCTCCCCTCTCCGCCCCCCTCCTCCCCCGAAATGGGCAAGGGGCCCCCTTGGCGCCAGGTTGCGACCGGCCCTCTTCGCCCTCTCCCTCCGAGGGGAGCTCGTCCCCCGGGTGGTGATGGGTGGCGCATTCGATCGAGAGACCCCCTGGGGTGGTCCTGGTGTGACCCTTCACTTGCCTGGGGTGAGGGCTGGCAGACGGCCGGCAAGCGCGGCCGAAGCTCTCCTTGACTCGCGGCGGCCGCCTGCTCCCGAGAGTGTCCCTTTCTCGCTGTGTTCCTCCTCTGACCGGGTTTCCCCCCCCCCCCCCTTCTCCTTCCCACGGCATGGGTGTCCCTGCTCTAGCTGGACCGCCGCGCCGAGAGCCTCGAGTGCTGGACCGCCATCCTGGAGCGTCAGCCGGGTCGAGCCGACGCCTATGTCACTCGGGCATCTCTCTGGGACGAACCCGACAAGGGCATCGCGGACTGTCTGGCCGCGCTGCGCCTGTCCCCCGGCTACCCATATGCCCGTGCCATGCTGGCGGCCCTGTACCTGGACAACGGCCGTCTGGACAAGGCCTACGAGGTTCGTCCCTCTCGCGGTGTCTTTTTTATTCCGATAGTGCGGGGGTCCCTTTCGCGGTTCGGGTGTAGGCGCGACATTTGCCCGGGTGTGTTGCTCAGCTCCGCGACGAGATCGGGCGCGCGCGCACGGCGCGGGCGGCGTCTCAAGGGCGGCCCACGTCGGGCTTTCGCCCGCCTCGCTGTGTTTGTCGGCCTGTGCTGCCCCCTTGTGACCCCGTGTGTTGCGCGAGCCCGTTCCGTCGCGCGTGCTCCGCTTCGTCCCTCCGGCCGGCCCCTTCGGTTTACCCCTGGGGTGCAATGTCCCATGTGCCGGCTGTGTCCCCCCGGTTCGCTCCATCTCTCTCTCTCTCTCCCCTGCGGTCCAGCATAGCCCGACTCACGAGTGGCCATGGACGGGGAGGGGGCAGGGGAAGCGAAGGGGGGCCCGGTCGAGCAGCCGGCACCCTTCCCTCCTCCGCTGCGAGGGGGGGGGGGGTTACCGCGGTGTTCAGCCTGGTGAATGGGGCGTCGGCGCACACGATTGTGTCTGGCTCTGTTTGTGTGGGGGTCGTGCCTTCCGGCCCACGCATACCGGGGCAGCACGCTCATGCATGAGGCAGAGGCCGGGGGGATGAGCATCCACGCGACAGGCAGGCGGGGGTCCAAAACCGCGGGGCGAGCTTTTGCTCCCGGGACCCGACCCGACTCCCGGGGAGTGGCCTGACCTCGCCGCAGCATGGTTGCCCCTGAGCGTGAGCATCGCACCGGGCACGCCAGTGCACTGGCCCAATGTGGGCACTCAGCATGAGCCAGCTGTGTCCGAGATATGGCCCCCCGTATCCGGTCCTGTGGGGGGGGGGGGCGGGGGCCGGAGCGGCAACTAGTGGAGAAGCTCCACAGGGTCCGGCCGAGGGCTCGAAGACATGCGATCCCCAGGCGCGCAGGGCGGGGGGCCAGGGTGGCGGGGGGTGGGATAATCACAGATGTTGGAGCGCCCACACACCGCCCATCTTTCCTTCCTGTGGCCCGGTAGCCCGAGACTAACCCCCATCATCTTCCTTCAACCCTGCCGCGGGGCTGCCTGCGTGGCGTGCTGCTGGGGCACCTGCCGATTTTCAATCTCACACACACAAACACATCTGCGCGGGCGCGTGCGCGCGCGATCCCCCCCCCCCAACGACGGCCTGTTCTCCAGATCGTCGAGAACATGCCGGAATCGGAGCTCTCCCGGGCGGGGCGGCTCATGCACACGGTCCACCGGATCCGGGCGCATGCGCGTGCCTTCCACGGGGACCTGGCCGGGTCGCTGAGGGACTTCGCCCTGCTGGCTGATGCCGGCGAAGTGGCCCCGGAAAGCTATGACGCGGTGCGCGAAGCGCTGAATTCCGTTCGCTCCTTCGAGGAGCGTCTTGACCGGGGGACGGCCACGCCACTGGCCGCGGCACCGGCTGTTCGGCGTCTGATTCGTGAGATCCGCCGCGCCAACCCGGATGACTTGAAGGAGGAAGCCTGGCTGACGGTGCGTTTTATCGTGTGCTCTCTTTGCTGGTTTTCCGCATTCGCCCGGTGCCGGTCAGTGTGTGCGTGTGTGTGTGTGTGCCCAGACGTCTCGTCGAGTGCCAGGGCGGTCTCGTTCCGGGGGGAACCCCCCTCCTCTTGTGGCGAGCGGGCGCCCACACGGCGGTCGGTCTGCCCCTCAGAGAGACCGTCCCCCCGGGGCGGGCGGGCGCGGCCCAGGAGCCGGCGAATGGGGCTGATCCCTGGCGGAGTGTGACCACCCTCTGGAGGTTGGGTGTAGATGCCACGTCCTTGTATTTCGGGCCGTGGCCGCCTCGTGCACCGGCGAAGAGGATGGAGGCCTCCCGCCCGGCCTCGGGCTTTGTCCTGTCCCACCGCACCGCTGGTGGTCACTGCCATCGCTCTGCCGAAGACCCCGGCCCCCCGGCAGCCGCATATCGGATCGGAGGGGAGAGGCCGGGGGGAAGGGGGGGGGGCCTCAGCCACGGCAGCCGCAGACACAGCGGCAGCCGCGCCCCAACGGCCGCGGCCACCCCCCGAGATGGTCCCTCCGCGCTCTTGTTGAGGCCGCCGAGGGGGCCGGGGCTTTGGGCACACCGAGGGCATATTACTCCGCCTGGCACGCGCTGGCAAGGCGCCGGGCGCCCAACTCAGGCACTAACTCACCGCTCCTACACCCGACCCCGCCGGTGCTTTCCCCCTTGTCAACTGGCTGGCACGCATATCCGCCCGTTTTGTGCGCCACCCGCCGGCCGAAGACCACCCTCGAGCGCATCGGCGTGGCCGCGCACCCGCTCCCGGGGGGGTATGCCCCTCCGGCGCTGTCGACCGGTGATGATGTGGCCTCCTTCGTGTACTTGTACCACCTGGCCCGGCGGCCGGTCCTGAACGTGGAGCATGTGGCCCTGACCGCGTCGCGGGCCCTGGCCTACTATGAGCACGAAGTCCAGACCAACGAAGATCTGCGCGAGATCACCCACCTCTGGAAGTTCCTGGTTCACATGTAGAGAGACGCCCCTTTTCGTGCGGGCCCCTCCCCATGCCAAGGCCCCGTAGGGGGGCGGGGGGCACGTCCATGCGTATATGTGCGGGCATCCTGTCGAGCTTCCCTCTCTTTCTGCCATCTCTCTGCGTCGCTCTGTGGGCGCACACAGGCATCCGGAGCACATCTCCTTGTATATAGAAGACTGGCGCACACCCGCGCCATCCTCCTCTCTCCCCCCCCCAGGGCGCGGGCTTCTCGCCCACGCGTAGTATGACGCTTTCGACTGAAAGTCCGGGCAGCACACCATATTGAAATATACCCCTTTCATGAATGGGATCTGTTGCAAATGCGTGGAGTCGGGGGTGGGGTGGGGGGAATCACCGATCTGACTGTCGGGTCGCAGGGTAGCAGGGGATGTGGGGCCGAGGAGCGAGGACTCAGGCACGGGAAGGAGATCGAGAAAGCCGAGACACCCGATGTGTCGACGAAAATGGTCGGTGCAGGGGGCGAGACGGGGGGTCCGGGCCTGGAGAGAGGGGGGAGAGGGGGAGAGAGAG